TATAAATGTCATTCAGTTATCAACTACGCCATTGTTTGATGTACTTGACTACATAATAATTTTGAAATATAAGCGTTTATTAGTTGTCAATTCATGTTTTCTTTTAAATCATTGCCATATGATATGTTCTAGTTATAGTTTTAAGGTCTGCATAGAGAACGAATGTAATATATATTATGACAGTGGTTAACACGAAAGTTTTCTTAGATGTTTCACTTAATGCTTTTATAATTCTCTCTTCACTAAAAATATAGTTTATTCTAGTTGTGGAGCGGCTTTATCTCGTTTGTACCTCTGCCACAACTCTGTTGGTGATGTGTTAGTCTAGCAAATTATGTTTGCAATAAACGAAACATTAACAAGCTTTTAACCTTGCGAGATCAATTTACAGTCAATAGTTTGTTTCGTGACTAAATATAATGATCGTAATTTCATAATTATATCGACTGACATTATGCCACATCATGAAGTCAATAATTACACACCCTGAAACGACATCTTATTTATGCACAATAAAATTCGTTGCTGTGGGTAAGGTTAATTTTGTATTGTTTTTTTTTTTTTTTTGCATCAGATTGAATACATGAACAATGAAAAATCTAATATTAGTCCCGGGTAGCGTACTTTCGTACATAATATTATTAACTGAAAATACAATTATCAATTACTGAAGCAAGAAATCTTTAACGCAGAATTTGTAGATGAAGATTTAAAATAATCATCTGTTAACATATGCATTTACAAACAGTTAAATGATTCAGACAGCTCAATCATATTCGTGCGAAAGAGCACACATATGAATCTGCCGAGCAAGATATGAATTGCGTGCATTTTGACAGTTATGCATAAAAGTGATATTTTAATACGATTTTCATTGATGTGGTATGACTAATTGCAGAAGTTTCAAAATACACAATACTCTACAAATTACTAGATATATGTTCTTGATTAAATAGCTTTTAAAAATGAGATTAACACGAAACCAACAGTATCTGTATTTCGTTATAATTTTAGACGGGCATTTCGTCTTGGAAATCACTTAAACTGCTTTTATGTCGAACCTTTCAAATACATTCGACTAAGAGAGAATTATCTTCTTAAAGTAAATAAATAGATACAAGAACATTAGACAGGTTATGTTTGATGTGTAATGATGTAGATAAAATACGAATGTTTAACTTCGAGTGATTTCTCTTCGTTTTCAGATGATGCAAGTCAAGTTATGGGTTAGTTTCAAAACTATATTATATATTAAAGAAATTTGATTTGCTTTAGTATCTAACTGGATCACTTGACGCATTCCCAAATTATTTATGTCAAACGTATTATCTGATCTTGTATTCTCTGGAAGCCTTGTAGATGTTTGTCAAAATACCCTAGAACTTTATCCAATGAACACTGTTCACTTTGTAAAATATTACACCCTAATTCACTACCATATAACATCGAAGGAAATAGTACCTTTTTCATCACATTTGCAGTAATAAATGGGATTAAATCATTCAGTTTAATGACAGTGCCAAACAGACCATGAACAAACTAGTATACTTCGACTTTTGTGTTATGTGACGTAAACTTTTAATTAATCCGGTGTCGCAGATGTATTGCAAAATCAGCCAGAACAAAACTAATGATTCATGTATGCCATTTCATTCTGACATTATTCTTGTATTGCAGGCTAAAGATAACTTATGAGATTGTGCAAATATCTTCATCGTAAATAGCAAAATCATTTGCATTGGAAGCGTCAAGACACACACACACACACACACACACACACACACACACACACATACACACACGCACGCACACATACACCAAATAATTGATATTTCTTGACAAACAAAATAATGATATTTTTACCATATTTTACTATTGATGACTTTTCAGAAATGCCTTACATCACATTCTTGCGCCTTTTCAATTTCTCTGTACACTACTTCTACCCAAATATTTTTTATATGGCTGTTTTTCGCAGGTTTTTAAAATCTCTCATCTGAACTATACATTATCTCTAAGAATTAGACCTTTTTGTCTTGCCTTGTTTATCCAAGTATGTACAGTTTGTCTTTGAAGACTATACTTTTCTTTAAGTTCATCTGACCAATATGGCTTGGAGTAATACTTGAATTTGGATTTCAAGTCCGTCATGTCGTTTAAGTGTTGTATTTCAGCACTAACGCACCCGTAAAATATAGCAGCATTTTCCGAAATAGCATATATATATATTCAAAGTTTTCAGGTCATTGTCCAGTTCTTTTTAAGAATTTTTCGAGTTATCAGAATTTATTTTTTACAAAGCTTTATTTTTTCTTCATAGAGCGACTGAAATCTTTTCCAGGTGAGACTGTATAAAGGGAAGTAACTATAAGGTGATTAGATATGTCAACTATGACGTGCATATGTATCGAAATCCCCATTACATTATACGTTACTCAACTGTGAGTACCGATCGTGCAATCAGTTGAATGTGTGCCTTGTAAAAATGCTGGCGTATAATAAGACTGGCATACAAAAACAAAATTATACATTTTGCAAATCTGGAAATTTAAATTCTGCAACGTCTATTCGCATCATCTATGATGTTACGATATTTTATGACAGATATTGTGCAGAAGAATGCAATATGTCAGATGCTGAAGCAATATAATTTATACTGACAATGCCTATTGTCTTCAGAAATTAAAAATTAAAAGAGACAGATGGATACAGTAAAAAGGTTTCACAATAATAACAAAACAAAAACGAAACAAAACAAAAATAAAATTATGGATTTTTTGGAGAAGGATGACAATGAGTATTTCTCAGCTTACTCAGAAAAAAAAGATTCTGTAATGAATATGTTTCACGAAACTTTAGAGAATTGAACGTGGACGATTCACTCGAAACAAAACAATATATTTGCCATCGAACCAGGTCGATTTAACACAAACAACCACGCTGTTCATCTGATCATCTTCATTAAATATTATTTGATGCCATCGCAAATTTCATAGATATATTGATTATTGCCGCCGTAAAACCGTTGACAGCTCTCTATAACGACCATTTAAGACACATTTGTTATGTTTCTTTTTCATCAAAATTCTGCATAGTTATCCCCTTATTCTTTTTATGATCAAATACCTATTGAAGGAAGGGGTAATTTGTTATTGTCTTTTTTGTTGCTGGTTTCACATGTGGCACCGAAGTTTAAAATGAATTTTTTTTTATAAATGAAAATGGTTGAAAAGATAGTTAACAATTTTATGAGTGTCGATGTCTTTAAATTTAGACCTTTGATCTTTGCTGTCAAGGTCAATAAAACATGCCTGTCATATCTGTCATTGCTGGCATCCACCTTCGACGCTTTGGGCCCATCAGACGACACTTAGTAAATGGATGAGTCACATAATTCAAGTTTCGGGAACATTAGACGACACGTAGTTAATGGGCGAGTCACATAATACAGGCATTGGGCATATCAGACGACATGTAGTTAATGGGCGAGTCACATAATTCAAGCTTTGGGCACATTAGACGACACTTAGTTAATGGATGAGTAACATAATTCAAGCTTTGGGCACATCAGACGACACGTAGTTAATGGGCGAGTCACATAATTCAAGCTTTGGGCACATCAAACAACACTTAGTTAATGGGCGAGTCACATAATTCAAGCTTTGGGCACATCAGACGACACGTAGTTAATGGGCGAGTCACATAATTCAAGCTTTGGCCACATCAAACAACACTTAGTTAATGGGCGAGTCACATAATTCAAGCTTTGGGCACATCAGACGACACTTAGTTAATAGATGAGTCACATAATTCAAGCTTTGGGCACATAAGACGACACGTAGATAATGGGCGAGTCACATAACTCAAACTTTGGGCACATCAGACGACATTTAGTTAATGGATGAGTCACATAATTCAAAGCTTTGGGCACATCAGACGACAATAGTTAATGGGCGAGTCACATAATTCAAGCTGTGGGCACATCAGACGACACGTAGTTAATGGATGAGTCACATAATTCAAGCTTTGGGCACATCAGACGACACCTAGTTAATGGATGAGTCACATAATTCAAGCTTTGGGAACATCAGACGATACTTAGTTAATGGACGAGTCACATAATTCAAGCTTTGGGAACATCAGTCGATACTTAGTTAATGGACGAGTCACATAATTCAAGCTTTGGTCACATCAGATGACACGTAGTTAATGGACGAGTCACATAATTCAAGATTTTGGCACATCAGATGACACGTAGTTAATGGACGAATCACATAATTCAACCTTTGGGCACATTAGACGACAATAGTCAATGGGCGAGTCACATAACTCAAACTTTGGGCACATCAGACGACATTTAGTTAATGGACGAGTCACATAATTCAAGCTTTTGGCACATCAGACGACACTTAGTTAATGAATGAGTCACATGATTCAAGCTTTGGGCACATCAGACGACACTTAGTTAATGGATGAGTCACATGATTCAAGCTTTGGGCACATCAGACGACACTTAGTTAATGGATGAGTCACATAATTCAAGATTTGGCCACATCGAACCACTCTTAGTGAATGGGCGAGTCTCATAATTCAAGCTTTAGGCATGGGGAGGGAGGAAAAGCCTGTCAGTACAGATATACTAATTGCCACGGTTACACATAGGCTACTCTGTAATCAGAAATAAATGTGCAATTTTACCTTTGCCCTGAATTTATATTGAAAACTAGAACATAACCTGAACCGTTTCAATCTGATAATTCCGTACGATACGCCTAGAACAAGAAGCATCAGTACCAAATATTATAAAAAAAGCAGGGAAATTTCACCTATACACTAGCAGACGATATTTGTTTTCGCTTCTTTTCCATCAAAGGTAACCAATCTATAACTTGTCTTAACACTGATTGGTCTAGAGATTTTACAGCAGTGTACATTTGATGTCTTTCATTTTGCGTTCTTTAATTTATTATTTTGCGTCTTCAAATCGCCTTTACAACCTAGACCGCTTTGGTGACATGGTGGTTAGAGCGTCCGCCTCGCATGCGGTAGGTCGTGGGTTCGATCCCCGGTCGAGTCATACCAAAGACTTAGAAAAATGGTTCTAACAGCTGCCTCGCTTGACGTTCAGCATTAAGATTTTAGAGTTAGGACTGGTCAGGATAATGTGACTGGGTGGAACATCATGCTACATGTCTGCTGCATGATGCCCCAGTGCTAGACATCACTATAAACTGCCAAACCGCAGATATCGTAGCGATATGACTGTTAAAGCTATGCTACAAATCATAATCACATCACGCCCTCACAGTAGCACTACATTCACACCTGATAATTTTTTCAGAAGCGTCACTTAAAAAGGAAATTGAAAGTGAAAATCAAGTATATAAAATAGTGCAGGCTATTAATTCTTACCATCAATTAGATTTAATCTGTGGTAATAGACGAGAAGCTATTAGGTGGCACAATCAGACTACAGGTTATAAATGACACATAATTCCGAAACATATATGATTCACTAGCATTATATATCAAATCGTATAGGTCTTGGACTGACAAAACGGGAAAAAGTCGGTTAACTGATCTTGATTGTTCTAAATGTTATATGCAAAGAAAACGACATAACGGAACACACACACACACACACACACACACACACACACACACACACACACACATATCTGCTGGTTTATCTTTAGTATGTGCCACTAACTGACATAACGTATCTTTCTGCACTGAAAGCAATGATGATTTTACTTTTTTATTACTATGTTCATTCGACTTTATGAAGAATTGTAGCAAATTTATTCTTGACAACACGAACTAAATAACCATTTTTCTTTTTTCTCAAATACTCGTGAAACAACCGTGCGCATTCAATTTAATGAGATCGCCTCGTGTAATCAATTATATACCAAGGAATTTGACAACAATATTTACTCGCCGAATTCTGCGAATCGTCCTGCTATGTAGTGCAATAGATCAATATTTATATTTGTACGAATTACACACATGGTTATTTCCTGTATGTTTCTCGTCGTCTTTATAAATATAATATAATTAATTTTGTAGGGAAAATTTTATTTTAAGAAAACAACAATTTATTTAACTAATTTTAGGGTAGAAATACTAATGAATTTACAAACCTTTTTTTTGTTTTTATTTTTTTTTAAACTGTAGTAATCCTTTCGGGCTTTACTTATTTTAGCTTTATGACATTTGATATCATCTACATATCAATCATTGCACGGCTTAAAATCTCAATGCATTACTTTAAAATAAACTTATCTTAATTCCTAAAATTCGTATGAGTGAAGATCAAAAATATTATTTGTTAGTTAAGAAAGTTAGAAAACTCCCATGCAATGGATGCAAAACTATTACATTAATAAATGCAGCTAAGAGTATTTGTTCAAGCTGATGAACTTGACATTCACCTCTTGCTGTCATGTGAGGATATCATGCCTTATAGAATATATATATATATATATATATATATATATATATATATATATATATATATATATATATATATATATATATATATATATATATATATATATATATATATGAGCATAAATCTTAACCTATTAGCATATTAGTATATAATTAAAACAGAATATTGACGAGATACACATGGTTATAAAGTTAGTCTTACATAATGGAGAAAGTGTAGAAAATATGGAACATTGAACGAACAAAATCATTATTGGGTGTGCAAAGATATTATAATTTCAAACATTATTTCTCCTTCTGAGAACACGCTTTTTTCTTTCATGCAAATGAAAATCAAGTAATGCTTGAATAAAAGTAATTTCTAGTTACATTCTGGGCAAAAACTCAATTTACTCGGGTTTTAGGTTTTAAATTACTTCTAAAAGAAGCTAATTAAATTTATCCGACGAGATTACACTGAGGTATTTCCCGAAAGGTACACTTAAAAATAATTGCCAGTAATTTGCAAACGCATTATCTGATGATCAATCATATAGATCCTATAGGAGGACCACTTTTATTCCAGTAAACATATTGGATAACAATATACCACGTCCTGGAGAGTATTGGGAGATCCCTCATATGCTGATAGACGTATTTAGTAACACGAGACTGCGATATGGATGCAAATAATATACTTTGGGCTTTATTTTTGTGACTGAGAAACTGTCAATTGAGTAATTAACATTCCATCACCTGTCTAGATATAGATATCAGTTAATAGTATTTTAATTAAAAATTTAATTAATGTTAGTGTTTTTAAAATCATAAAAATATATCAAATAATTCAAGAAAAAACTGACAGTTTCTCAAATTAATGATATATTATGATTACTTAGTTATAAATACTTTCGCACAGCATAATGTTTTACTATTTATTTATTAATTTATTACATAATTAATTTAAGTTATGATCCACTGTTGAACATATATTTTAAATTTTATATATATATATATATATATATATATATATATATATATATATATATATATATATATATATATATATATATATATATATATATATATATATATATATATATATATATATATATATATATATATATATATCTGTTTGTGTGTGTTGAAATATATGGTTACGAGTAAAACATTTCGATTTTTTGGCCGATTTATGTTTGTCTTCTCTTTTTTCTCCCACCGATCTTCTCTCTCTCTCTCTCTCTCTCTCTCTCTCTCTCTCTCTCTCTCTCTCTCTCTCTCTCTCTCTCTCTCTCAGGCTGGGTGAAGAGATCTTCAAATGTGTATTAGACTATTCACTCTTTTGTACATTGTCATGTAATAAATGAGAATATATAATCAACAATGCTTGTAAATGGATCCCAAATTAACAACAAAACGAAGGTCTCATTATTATTTTTTATTAAATTATTTATCCTCATGAACGTACACGGCCTTTTGCTATTCGTTATTTTGTGTCACCCTTACAGTATTGTAATCCTGTTATACTCAACGAAAAACAGTTATTTTATTTGTCACCACAATATGCATGTCTGAAAACGGGTATAAGGACATCTCCCACTTTAACATATTCACTGGACATTCCCACCATCAAATAAGACTCCACCCAGTCATTTCCTCGCCAAGTATCTTTATACCACTTTATTTATATATAGTAACATTTATACTCGCATCCCGCATCACCGTTAGTCCACAAGTATGACTGTCGTCACCTGAAATAAAAATTAAATGCATTATCAAATTTAAAATATCTAATTTCCTGACCCTTCCTCCCTCCCTCCCTCTCTCCCTCCCTCCCTCCCTCTCTCTCTCTCTCTGTCACACATACACACACATACACACACACGTGTATCTTAAGGGTAGCTTAACACCACATTTGAACTGTGAACATAAATTCACACCCACTTTAATGCATTGTCAGTTATAACAAGAATGGGCATTGTCTATTTGTCAATCAGTTGCTAGTGCTTTTACTCACTGTAGAACAGGATGTTTCTTTGAAATATGTTGAAGAGGCTTGAGCCTAACCTTTATTTATTGTGCATATTTGGTATATTTAAGAGAAAGAACATAATGATTAATCATCGTTCAATTAATTTGTAGTTGTGAACAGAGCTTAAATAATGTCAACCTAAATCAGACTAAAGACTGTTCTTCGAGAATTGCAAACATAGTCGCTGACTTTGACAATCGTGACATCACATAATACTTAAAATTAATTGCCTAAAACATTAACTTTTAAACAATAAAGTTTTTAAAATGTGAAAATATTAACTTTGTTTAACACTTACTACTGAAACTTGTTTCAAATAACCCTTTTCTTTTAACAGAACTTAATAAAAGTTTTTATATTTTATTGGCAAAATGTCATATTAAATGAATTAAGTTATAAGATATTGGGGATGACTCAAGGGAATTCTATTTGATGGGGAAAATGTCTAGATGAGAAATTTCCGGTGGGGATATGTCGGAGGGCGGGAGATGTCCTATACTTCCATAGAAATCTGAGGTATTTATCTGCATCGATTGCTAACTGAAATTGGGTGATATCCGAATCTTGGGAGCAGCGGGTTTTACTTAATTAGCGGGTGAGCTAGCACACACACACACATACACACACACACACACACAATTCCACCTCTGAATGCCAAGCCCCAACCTAACAACAAAATTGCAACAAAACATTCTTAGAAGTAAAACAAATAATAAGTAAAAGACGCTACTTGATGATATTACTCTAAAATGTGTTCGACCGTTCTGTCATGCTTTAACACAGCTGCACGCTGTGTGTGTTGTCAGGTGGCTTACGTTAGTCTTGAGAGACGATGGAAATGCGGCCATGAAAGGTGTCCCAGTTTGTAGTTGTGCAGCGTCTTCTGTGGCTATAGATCCCACACAAAAGTGGCAATACTTGCTGCAGTTGCTGCACTTGAAGGTTGAGTCTGGTCGTGGTTGGAACTGCATCCTCTTCCTCTGAGATCTTTTCTCATCAGCGAGCTGTCGTAACTTTTCCTCGCTGGCTTTCAGACCTGTGAACAAAGCATGTCGCCAGCTGGACTTGTCGATGGCAAGCCCTTCCCAGTTGTTGACCTCGACCCCAAGAGCTTTCATGTCGTGCTTGCAGACATCCTTGAAGCGAAGATGTGGCCGTCCGATTTATCTTCTGCCTGAGGCAAGCTTAGAGAAGAGAAGGACTTTGGGGATCCGTCCATCATCCATTCGACGCACATGGCCCAGCCATCTGATGCGACGTTGGCAGAGGATTGTGACCATGTTGAGAATTTTGGCATGTTGAAGCACCTTGTTGTTTGTCGCACTATCGCTCCAGGTTATCCCGAGTATGCGACGGAGACATCGCATGTGAATGGCACTCAGTCTTTTTCCTGAGAGGCATATAGGGTCCAAGTTTTGCTGGCGTACAGGAGAGTGATAAGCATGCAGGCACGGTACACGGGATCTTAGTGGTCAGTGTCAGCTTGCTGTTGTTCCACACTCCGACAATCTAAAGAGAAATGTTGACGCCTTTCCAATCCGCTTCTTAAGCTCGGAATCGAGTAAGAGGTTGTTGGTGATGGTAGAGCCAAGGCAAGTGAACTCACTGACTAC